CAAACTCATCACATGCATGGCCACCCACTCAGCCCTGCATGGGGAGCATGGAGCTCCTGGACTCAGTGCTGCTCGAACAGCTCCGCTGTGAGCAGGGCTGGCTCAGTGCTGCTGAGGGCAGGGGACAAGGGCAGGACGCCCCATGGCACACCACCACTGTATTTCCTAGGAGTGCAGAGCGCATATCTCCATCTCCATCACCCCTGGTCCTGCCAGACCAGGCACTGCCCCCCCAGCTGGGTATTGGGGTCTTGAGCAGAGCTCTCTACAATTTTGGTGCTGTTCCAGCCTTGGGTCCACCCTTTCTCCCTCAGAGCCAGTCTGCAGCAGCGCTCACAGGTCAGGTCACCCTGCCTGCAGGTGCTCCCACCCACCCAGCACCCCCTCCTGCTGCTCTGTCCCAGCCCAAAGCCCCCTGCCCCGCTCCTCCCACTTCTTCCCCTGCCTGTCACTGACCTCTCTTCTGTCCTAGACGGTGCCAGGAGCAGGGGTGGTGGGACCATCCCAGCAGGTCTCCAGGAAACACACAGGCACTTTCTCAGTTGATAAGCATCGTCTTTCCCCTCCTTTGCTGAGTCTTATTACACAGAGTCTGTTGGCAGAGTCTTCCCTGAAAGCCAGCCTGTGTCAGCCCCTGGGCACTGTCCGACCCATGGAGAAGGGGCAGGTAGAGAGGATGTGGACACACAGGGTGGCTGTCACTGCTTGAATCAGTCCTGGCTCCTCATGGAAGACAAGGACCTATCTGGACCTCTTCAGGGTCCAGCCTGGATCCTTACATGCTCAGCTGCTCCTGACTATGACAGAAACATAAACCAGGGATACTTTGCAGGGATGGAGAAATAGGCAGACACAGGGACTCCTGTCAGCACCCGTGGGCCCTGACCCAGCCAGCACCATGGGATGTGGCCCAGCACAACATCTCCTCCCCAGCAGGAGCAGGCAGCAGGGACACTGCCTGGCACGTGCCCGCAGACTGCTGCACCCGAGCTCCACAGGGTCCCCCCAGCTGGACTCCAGCTCCCCAAAGAGTAGCCACCCCAAAACCCAGCTGAGGTGGCCTTGCTGGCGACTCTCACATCTGGGTAGAGGTTCAGGAGACCCACAGAAGAGGGGCAGACAGAGCTGAGAGGGAAGGAGAAGATGGCCCCTGGCAGGGGTGATGCCCACCAAGCAGGAGTCATGCTGCCAGGCAGGCTGGTGGCACATCAGGGCAGGGGTGACCTGCCCCAGCCGAGAGCAGAGCTCGCTGGCTTTGCACAGCTCTCTGCAGCCCTGGGGGTCTCCAGCCAGAGCTTTCCTGTCCTCCCCACGACTCGCCAGCAGCACCGATCCTTCCTGCCCTATCCTGTTATCAATCACAGACCTGGGCACAGCACCACATGCAGTGTCTGCATTACAGAGGAGCTCAGACCTTCCCAAAATGCACACACAGTGCAGCAGCTCTTGTTAACAGGGCACAATGTCCACCATGAACCAGAGGTGAGGCATGGGGGGAAAAGGATGGGCTGGTGGAGCAGTGACCTGCATTGTGCTGTGACCTGCCCACCAGGCACCATGGCCATGACCTGCTGCTCTCCCCTGCAGTGGCAGACCCCGTGCCTTATTCAGGGTTACTGCAAATGCTGCCTTGATGGCATGGCTTAACCCCATGTTCACATTGGGTGTGAGCAGTGGAGGGTGTTTGGCAGCCCTGGGCGATGGAGAGGTCTGCTGCCTGCTGCTGCAGCTCATCCAATGCTGGCAAGGCAAGGTTTTCACGGGCAAAAAGCCCAAAGCCTGTGCTGCATCAGGGGCTCTGGTGCCACCAGCTGCTGCCTTGATTTACCCTCCTGCTGAAAGCCCCGTGGCTCCATCCTCTGCTACCTGCCCTTGCTGGCAGGAAAGGTGTCCTCTGCTGCAGAACATATGGGGACACCCCTTGGCCCAAACAGCAGAAGAAAATAAATATAAGAAGCTTGCAGTTTCTTAGCTTTTCCTTCAGATATGGGGCATTTCTGGCTTCCAGTGCCATGTCTTCCCCGCAGTGAGAAGGCAGGGATATTTCTCATACCTGGAGCTGGTATAAAACAGACCTTGTGTGCTGCGAGCTCCTGTGGCTCAGACCCAAGGCTGCACGGCTGCAGTGAGAGCAAGGGGACTCAGGAGGCATCGCTCAGCAGGAGCAATGCACAGCCCAACGTGGCAGCTTCCTGGTTTTCTGAGGCCAGAAAGCGCTATCCAAAACAGCTCTCAAGAGCAGACAGGCCCACATACTCAGGCGCTGCGTGCTGGAGGAGCCACACGGTGCAGATCCCCGTCCTCTCTGCATTGCTGCCCTCTGGCTGCCTCAGCACTTCTATGGCGAGACTCTCCACTGGCTGTGGAGGTGGGACCTGGCTCTTGCAAGATGCACCACAGCTCCAGAACCTTCCTTGGGAGCAGGTGAATGCATTTTCAACCAGGCGATGGGTGCTGGCAGCATAGTGCCAAACCGCAGGATTGAGGACTTGAATTTAGAGAATATGTCTCACCTGCACATGCACTGCATCTCACCCGGGCTGCCCAGGTGCAGGTCCTGTCTGTAGGACATGCCCTGCTGTGCTGAGACAGGATTGTCTCAGTGGGATCCTGGGTGAGGAGGCTGAATCTCTCTCTGTGCTCAAGGGGGAATCTTGCAGGGTGGTGTATAATAGAGATAGGGCAATGGATTCACATTTTCAGGGGGTAGCAAAGCTTTAAGCTCTCCGACCTTAAAAAGATACTTTAATAGAGTGCAGGAAAACAGCATGGAAAGCTCTGGAAAACATGACTTTCATTAAAAGACATGACAGACCTCAGCTCTACAGTTTGCCCAAGAAAAGAGGAAGAGGCCACCAGGGTGAGTTATGCAAGTGTCTGCATGGAGAAGATATGCCTCCTGTCCAGCAGCAGCAGCCTACATGCCGGGAGCTGGGAACTGGAGGAGCCAAGCTCTTGGGCCAGCTTCATCCCGTCCCACTGGCCTTTCAGACAACCCCAGCTCATCCCCATCTCCAAGACTCCATGCAGAAGCTGCTGGCACATCCTCCCTGGCCTGTGCCATGCAGCAGCAAGGCTCTTTGGCCCCAGGTACCTGCATCCACCGGTCCATCCTGTGCTGGGGCCAGATGGTACAGTCAGCATCACATGCATGGCTGTTTTTAGAGAAGTTAAGAAACTTAGCCTCGGTGGAGTGGCAAACTCAGCATCTCTTTGACTTGCTGCACCTATTTCTGCACCGGACGTTGACAGAGAGTGGGCTATTTTTAACCATCCCTGGTTTACTATCTTCTTTCTAGCTGTTATCACAGGCTAGGATAGGATCTGTGCACTCTTCATGAAAAACTCACTGCTGATCCCAGACCAGATAAGCCTGCAGAAAGCCAGCACTGCTTCCCCCGAGCCCAGCGGCGTGTGGGCGCAGGCTCTCTTGCAGCAAAAATGGAAGTGACTATTTTCTAACCGCTTCCTTTCTTTCTGAGTCTCTCTCTCTCCCTCCTGCCCCTCCTGACAAGTTCGTTTCCTGTTATTGATAACAGCCCCTGCACCCGGCAAGAGGTCACCACACTGAGTGCTCCCAGGAGAAAACAGCTCAGGGGCTGAGGATGTGCAAAGCAAACCCAGCCCAGCTGTGCTGGGGCAGGCAGCAAGGCTCAGCCCCTGCTGCTGGGTGCCCAGGTCCCTGCTGCTGCAGGGTGCAGTGTGCCAAGGGAGCCAGGACAGGAACGACACGATGGGACTTCAGGATTTTCAGGCCTTTTTGTGCCTTCTTCCTAGGGAGCTGCTTTGTCCTGTGTGCACTGGGGATGGAGGGTAGCTGGGGGTTTTCTTGTTCCTGGGAGCCTTTTTCCTGCCCACGCATCTCACAGTGTTTTGCAAGCAGGAGCTGTGGTCTAGAGCCTCCTGAGAAGACACGTATGTGTCTCCTGGCCTGGGGCAAGCCACTGTTTGCTTCCACCCTGCCAACCGTCCCATGTGAGGCAGGCAGCTAGCTCCCCAGGGGAAACTGAGGGCACAAAGGTTTCCAGGCAGCCTTTCCAAAAGTACAGCACTGTTGGAGGGAGCCGGTGAAGTGCAAGACAAACCGAAGTGACACGTGGATGAGCAAGATCCTGTCACTGGTGCTGGGGCTGTGTCCCCTCGTGGTGCAGCAGTGCTGTGCCTCTGTGGCTTCTCCTCTGGCGTTTGTTGGATAGAGACTCAAAGTCTCAGCACCTTGGAGATCTGGCTTACATCCTTTCTACCCTCACCACTCACCTGAAGAGCAATCCTCCATGCATGAAGCTAAAATGAATGGGGAGAGCTTGTTCCCACACGAGGGGAGGAATAAACCATGCTGACATAAAGCACCTTCACAGCAGGAGAACACCTTTCCCAGGGAGCCTGTTCCTTGTGCCCACATCCCCCGCTTTAGTCCACAGCAGCACCAACTCTGCATCGTCGCTAGCCCCACAAAGATGGGGCTGGTGGTTCACAGGCTTTACTTTTACCTTTCTGTTTGCAAAGTTGGAGGAAAGCTCAGCTTGTTTGCAGGAGATGTCAGAGAATATCTAATTCCAGAAACCAAAAATGGTTCTCTTCAGCAGTCATTCAAAGAAGAAAAAAACAACATTAAAACAGTCAAGCAAGAAATCCAGGTGACAAACCATCCTTTTGGTTCTCCTTGAGGAGAAGGGCAGGAGTGCAGGGGCTGGCAAGATCAGCAGCAGATGCCTTGAAAAAATGAAACAGCAATTGGTTCACTGCTCCCAGCCAGCGCCGGGCAGCGTCAGGAGCAAACTCTGTGCAGACTGTCACTGGCAATGGGGAGGAAGGTCACGCGTCTGCTCCCTCCAGCTCTCCCTCCCCGGGATCAGCTCCATCCCGGCAGGATTCCTGAGGGTCCAGGCTGACGTGCGGTGCTGCTCTGTGGGCTCCGTGCTCCCCGCAGCCCCGCCGGCACGGGCTGTGCCCGGCAGACGGCTGCTCTGTGCCGGGCTGTCCTTGGGAACGCGCTCAGGCAGAGGGAGCTGGAGCAGCGAGACGTTCTTGGGGAAAAGCATCTGCAGAGGTGCTTTGCTCAGCTCCCGGGTCCTGGCTGTCCCAGCGGCCCATGACGCAGAGCCCCCTGATGCTGGGCCTTAACTGGGCTGTTCCCACCCCTCACAGGCTCTGCGGGATGCTCGGGCTAATTGCATAGTACTTCTCACGCCTGCAGGGAGCCGATCGGCCGATTTTAACAGAGTCTGCTGAATCCTGAGGCTGCTGCTTCACCTTCAAGCCCATGAGCGATGTTTAGGCAGCGAAGGAGATGGGCTAATTTCCAAATCCCTGCAGGACATTCTGAGCTCCCAGTCGTGTCAGCGGAAGCAAGACCAGGCTTTTCTGAGCACTGGACCCAGAGGTGACGGAGGCCCAGCGCGACGAGGCCATGGTGTGGTAGGCAATCCTGGGGAAGTAAGACTGTGGGGCAGTGTTTTGGGTGCTATTTCGATGCCTGACTGGGCTCAGGTGACTTCAGATCTAAACTGCTGTTTTGAGAGGGTGAGAAGAGGTGTTGGGTCCGGGCAGGGTGGCTAGGAGAGGAGGCTCATGCTCAGGAAGCTGGAGGGCAGAAACAGGCATAAGGAACGGCTGGGCTTTAGTGGGGAGAACAGGTCCCAGTCGGAAGCTGGGAGCTGCTCTTTGCACCAAGGGAACTGACGATGAGGATACAGCCAGAAAATGCTCGGGGTGCAAGATGACCGCATGAAAGTGGAGTTGTAAAATGCACGTGAACAACCAGATTTATCCCCCAGTCTGGGGTAAATCCAGACCTCCCTCCCTGAAGCACCAGCTCTGTAGGATCCCCATGTCCTGGTGGGCTTGCTGAAAATAAAACCACAACCATACAGCCCCTTGAAGACCCCTAAGGATCTGCCACAAACCTCTCCAGTCCCCGTGCCCTGCTCATCACCCTAATGCACAGGTGTCCACAGGCAGTGCTCCTGCAGGCGGGCAGGCGGATGGGCACGTGCCATCCCCAGGGGGGCAGCAGCCGCATGGGTGGGGGTACTGAGGCGAGGGGGAGGGAAGGTTGCTGCAGGAGTGGCACTGAGTGATTAAAAGCATCCTGGGTCAGGCGGTGTGTTCCTGCTCCATTTGCTCCTGGTCTCCCTCACGTCCAGTCTATCTCCACCAGAGGCTCATGCCTTATTTTCCACCAGCACTTTGCCTTCTGTGCTTTGGGTCTCCACTTACCTGTGGCCTCCCATGATCTGTCTCCCTGCCAGTCACCTCTGTTGTCGTGTCTCAGCCTGCTGGTGCTTCAGCAGAAGGGAGGAACAGGAGCCATGTCAGCCAGATGGAAGTACGCTGGGGTCCATTCGTGCACTGTCAGATGTGTTTGGGGTCAGAAGGTCTCAACACCATGTATTTTTCTGCCCCTTGGAGCCTGGACCATGGCACATCCCTGCACCACATCTCTGCTTCTCTCCTGTGTTCCCTCCACATAAGTGGGTACATAAGTACCCACAGCCAGGACAGTTCCTTCAGCCTCTATCAGTGCATTCTGGATAAGGAAAAGCCAAAGGAGGTCAGGTGTGGTTCCCAGTGGTTCTGTCCTGGGTGTCCTTCTCGGTCCCACCCAGCACATGTATACGTGTGGCTGGTAGAGCCAAGCCAGTGGCATGGGGAGGTCCACGAGTGTCAGAGGGAAAGTGTCGCCGGGTTTTCTGGGGTACTTTCTTGAGTATGAGTACCTCAATGTTCTGTTGCTTCAGAGGCAGAGTATCTCCGTATCTCAGTTTCCTCCTCATGCATGGTGCATGGTCTCACCGAGGCCTTTGAAATGGCCATTAAATCTCTTAAATCACACTGGGCCAGAGATCACTAAAACTGACAGCACACAGGGAGCTCTTGCTGGAAAAGGCTCTTCCACAGCACTTTTGCAGCTTGACCTTGTTTATTGGATAATGTAATGTTTTGGTGGAAGGTTCCCATTTCCTTTGGGGAAAAAGGGCCAAAATCCAGATATCAAAAGCCCATGCTGCCCTCGCTGCGCTCCGTGCAGAAGGCCCATTGTGCCTTTTGGGTACAGCAAGGCACAGCCCAACTCTGGGGATCAGAGCCCCGTTTCTCTGCAACTTTGGGTGCTGCGAGGTTTTGTGGGTGTTCCTTGGGCCCTACGAGGTCTGTGGAGGTCCAGCTGTCTCCGTCCTCCCCATCATGGGTGAGTGTGGGTGCACGGACATCACCGACATGTGCCCAGTGACTTGCCTGTGCTGGTGGCTCTGTGGTATCTGCCCCAGTACCATGATGAGCTTGTCCATTGCTTGTCCCAGTGCCAGAGGAACAGGACAGGGAGGAGGCAGCAGGTCTGTGCAGGGTTGGACCAGCAAAAGGCAGGAAAGGCGGCCCCAGGGGGTTGCATTCTTGGGGTTGCGTCCTCAGGGACCTCTTGAGCTGAAAGCCACCCAGATGGGATGGCAGATACAAGCCTCAGCCTTGTTGAGGAAGGAAGCTTCTGCATTGTCTGACAGAATGATACCTCAGGAAAACCCCCTCTTTGTTTACTCTGGTCCCTACTGAGGATATGTTTTTGCGGCCACCTTGTTAAGTACTGCACTGTTGGTCATCTTGGGAAGGCTTCTCGTCAGAAGATGGAGGGTGGAAGGGAAGGGAAGTGCTGGGGCTTGTTTGTCTGTGGTTGGACTCTCTCTAGGCCCCTACAGCCAAGTTATTTCATCCCACATAGGACAGGGAACAATTCCTCACTCCATCCTCAGGCCTGACACAGAGTCCAGTCCAAGTCCGCAGAAGCTGCTAGCACTCTGGGATCTGCTCATGAGACACAGATGCTGGTGGCCCTTGGCTCCGGAATAAGATTGCTCTGCTGCTGGCTAAGCCCAGCACTTTGGTCTGGAGCTTGAGCCCTCTGATGTCCCAGCTTTCAGGGGTCTCCCATGGGTCACCAGTGAAGATGTTTTCAGGATTAAATTCTGGCAGCCAGGTTCCTGCAAACACACAGGGATGGCACAGAGATGCACCTCTCTGTCACAGTGACCAGCAGTGCTGGCACTGCACATCCTGAGGACAGCCTGTCACCGCAATGAGCTGGGCTGAAGGTGGCCCATGGGGCTCCTTGGGACAGCAGGGAGAAGCCAAAGGGGCAGCAGGGAGCGAGAGGGCATTTGGGATGTGGTGTCCGGGGTGGCTAGTGGGGATGCATCAGGAGCTGCTGCAGCGTGGCGGGGTGGGGGCAGAAGAGGAAGGAAGCGTGCAGTGTCTGCGCAGAGCCCGGGCAATAACAAACAGGAAGAGCAGCTGCGGCAGCGGGCATCGGCAGGAAGGATGTGCAGTGCCCCATGGGCAGACCTGTCCTACCTGTGCCAGACCCTCCAGGGACCTTCCTCCCTAAATACACCCCCTTCCCTGCTCTGATGGGGAGGGGGAGCCCATGTGCCCTCCCTGGAGGTGCCTGGGGATGGTCCCAGGTGCAAAGGGGTGGCGGGTGGCAACTACAGGGACATGGGTTAGGGGGATGGTGGGGTGGCACAAGGACCACACTGCACAGACATGGAGGATGGAAGCTGCTGGGGCCTGGCTTGCCCTGCAGTGGGATGCAGAGTGGCTGGTGCACAGCCCAGGCAAGGGGATATGGCCCGGGGCAGCAGGGATGGGAGGACTCATCCTGGATCCCTGTGGGGCAGGTGGGGTCTGGTGTCCCCAGAGCAGCACCCAAAGCACCCAAAGCACCCCCCCTCAGCCCTGCTGGCAGCGGCCCCCGCCCCACAGCCAGGTCTCGCCCATCCCTCCATGCCCCATGGACTGGCATGGACCATGGCCGGTCGATGAGGGCACTGAGCACACCCCTCTGGCCTTGCCAGAGATGCCTGTGGAGGCACCCCAGGATTTTGGGGGAGGCAGGGCTGTGCCCACAGGTGCAGGACAGGGGTTCACTGGCAGGGAGTGGGGCTGGGGCTGCAGGCGGCCCAGCAGAGCTGAGCTGCATCGATGTGGCCGGTATGTGTGTGGGCGGCAGGCAGGGTGGGGGAGAAGGAGGGAGAGGAAGCGGCAGAGGCAGCAGCTCCTTTGATAAGCAGCTTCCTGAACAATTTCAAACCGTGGTGTTCGACCGACACGCGTGGTGCCTGCGGGCCTGTGCCGCGACCGACGGAACCCACGCCACAGGGCAGCAGGTAGGCAGCCCCCAGCCCACCTGTCCCACCAGCTGGAGAGGGGACCCCCACCGGGCAGTGCTGGGCCCTGGTGCCCATGGGCAGAGGGCACGTGCTCCGTGCCAGGCAGCCCTGAAGAGGGCTGGGATGCTGGGCAGGCTGATGGGCCACACTCCCTGCAAGTGCCGGCTCTTCCCGGGGCCGTCCTGCCTGCCAAAGCCTTGGCTGGGGCATCTCCCAGCTGTTTCCTGGCCAGTGTGTGAGGGACATCTACTGGGGTTGGAGCCTCCTGCTGTCTCTAGCCAGGATCTCCCATGGTGTTGTGGCTCCTGGGGAGCAGCAGCTCTTGTCCTGCCTGGCCAGGGGACACTCCAGCAGCACAGGCACCCCAGGGAACCTTGTGTGGGGCGTGGGGACAGTCCGCGTGGCATTGCCACCCCCAGAAATTCTGCCAGGCAGCAAGGAGTCAAAGGGAATGACTCCTGCCCCAGGCACATTCACAATCAGCAAGGCCACAATGTGGATGGACCCATTTCTCTACAGGACCTGCCTGAGCTGATGCAGTACCTGAAATCCAACTCTTTGCCCACTGAGAGCTCTGACTCCACAGCATGCCCTGTCTCTTTGGGTCCGTCTTCTCCTCATGGAGGGAGCTGGGGATGAGAAGGAGCCTCATGATCCCAAGGTGCTTCCTGCACCATCAGGAGCTCTGCCCAGTGCAGAGTATCACCCACATCTCTCCATCCCTGCCAGAGCCTGTCCCGGCAGTGCAGCCTTGGCATCCTCCTCCAGCTGGGCTGCCTCATCACTTCTTGCTCAGCCACCCAGATAAAGCAGTTTCCTCTTGACAGTTGCTGAGACCTGGGGGATGGAGGAGGCTGTCCCAGGCTCATCTCTCCCTCTCTAGAGCGACGAGGTTGTTGAGGGTGCTTGGCCCCATGTCTCTCAAGAGCAGGAGCTTGCCAGGCTCTTTGTGGTGCCTACAGCCCAATGCTGCTGTGTTCATGCAGGTCCCAACTCTCCCTCCTCCCCACTATGCCCTCAAGCTGAAGCAGGCATGCCAGGAAAGGGATAGAAACACACGGCAGTGTGTGCTTCCCATGGGGATGGAGAGCATCTTGGGCTCCCCCAAACCAGACTGTGCTCCATGCAAACAGACGGTCGCTAATGCCATGCCCAGCGTCACCAGTGGATGCCTGTATGGGCTGCAGTGCTGTGGGCATGCCAGAGGGTGAACCCAATGGGAGTTCTCCCTGTGCCACCTGCCTGGATGCAGGGCTGGGAATCCTGGTTCCAGGACAGCTGAGGACAGCTGTCCCTTGCTTAGGGACATCCCATCTGCCAGGGGATCCACCCAGCCTCTCAGATCTGCCTTGTCTTTTCCAGCTGTTTCTCCTCCAATGGCTCCTTGATTCCCCAGGAGCTGAGGTCCCCCTGTGCCCACTCCCCGTGCTTCAGGACGAGGGCTTCGTGCCTGCCACAGCATGGTACAAGCCTGCTTGGTGTGCTCCAGAGTTCATAACGGCAGCCTGACAGCCCAGGCAGCCAGGGCAGACATGGACACGACAGACAAGCCCAGTCCCTCTGCCAAGAAGCATGTGCGTCTTCAGGAGAGGTGAGCATGATGCCTGCAGCCCCAACCCTCCACTGCCCGCCTCAGCCCAGATGATGGGTATCCAAGGCACTGCTCATCCCGAGGCCTTGGGGTCCCACAAAATTCTTTCCCCAACCCAGTCCTGCCAGCCTGCTGCCTGTTGACTTTTGCAGATGCCAGGTCTGAGCATGGAGGCAGTCCTGACCCTCCCTCCCCAGCCCAGCCCAGGCCAAATCCTTTGGGGCCTTTCCAGCAAAAAGGCCAAATGATCAGTTCCTCATTCCTCAACCCACCCAGTCTTCTGATGTATCTACCTGCCCCTTTTTTTATCCTATGTTATTCTGTGCCTGGCTTTTGCTTGGTGTGGGGTGATTTTAATGGACAATGTGGTGGGACGGGCTGCCCTGCTGTCCTGAGATGGCAGAGGGTCAGGCAGGGACCCCTTTGCCTTGCAGGAGGGGCTCCAACGTGTCACTGATGCTGGACATGAGCTCACTGGGGAGCGTGGAGCCCATCCAGCCTGTCTGTACACCTCGGGATATCACTCTGAAGGTCCTGAGGACATTCAGCCATGTGCTGAGGAGAGAGGAGCTCCAGGAACGCGCCCAGAGCCTGACACAGCTCCAGGATGAGTTTTCGGTGTGATGCTCCCCTCCCCTCTCCCTTCTCACATGAGGAATGGCAGGGGCTGGCGGTGGGGGGACTGGCAGGGGTGGACATCTCTGAGGGGGGCTCCGAGCCCAGCCATGCTCCACAGTGCCAGTGGCAGGGAAGCTGATGTTTGCAAACAGGGGTGAGGGTTGCCCTGGGTATCCACTGGCTGCCCTCTCCCTGGTGCACACAAGTCCTCCTTGTGTCCCTACCCCTGTCCTCCCATGTCAAGCTCTTCTCCCATGGTGGCCTGTCTGGAAGGTGTCCCACCACATCTGGGGTAAGGACAGGGTTCATGCCAGGAGCTGACATCTCTGGTGATGCTGCTAGGTCCCTGGGTCAGCCTCTCATTGCCTGAGGGACCAGCTCTGCCATGACAAGGGGACACAAACAGCAACAATGAGGTTTGCCTCACAGTTGTTCTCTCCTCCTGCAGAAAATCCCACCCAACTTCGTCAGTCCAGAGGAGCTGGAGATCCCTGGACGTGCTTCCAAGGACAGATACAAAACCATCCTCCCCAGTATGTTCCACTGCATCCTTTGCCTCACATTTGCTCAGGTGCCACATGCAAGGAAAGGAGGGTGTGTGTGTGGGTGTGTATGCACGTGTGTGGTGCACGTGGGTGTTTGTGTGTGGGAAAGGGGTGACTGCTCACCAGGGTGGGCACTCCTGTGTGCTCTGGGTGTTCCTGCTATACTTGTTCCTGCTCCCCATGTTACAGGAGCTGGGTGCTGTATTGCAGGGGCTGCACACTGTGTTATTGGGTGTTATGGGGAGTTACTCCTTGGGTGTTTTCCCAGGGTATGCAGTGCATGACAGCTCAGCTTGGGTTGCCTCTTGCCACCATGTGGACCTTACATGTCCCAGGGGCATGTTGCTGAAGCTATAAAGGCTGAGAACATTGTAGGAGGAGTCATTTGGGCTCCAGTCAGGCACTGTGGGAAGTCATTGGGTGGGTGAGTTCCCCCGCCATGCTCACTGTCGTACAGGCAGGTTTGGGCTTTGTTGGCTGTGATGAAGTGGGTCAAGATAGAGCCTGAGGGAGGACGCAGACAGCTCTGAGCATGGCATGGAGCTGGGAGGACTCAGTCTCCAGTCACTGGAGCTGAGGTGGGGACAACAGGCAGGGTCAGGCTCTGCAAGTCTGTCCCTGGGGTGATTAATGGCTGTTAAATCTTTCAGATCCTGAGAGCCGGGTCTGTCTCAGGAGAGCAGGAAACCAGGAGGAAGACAGCTACATAAATGCCAACTACATCACGGTGAGTGTCCTGCCTTGCTGGATAGCGAGTGGTCTCCCTTGTCCTGCAGCCCACAGCTCACAGGGTACTGGGCTGCAAACTCCTCGGTGCTGTAGGTGCCATGCTGGGACCTGCATACCAGGGCACTGACAGTCACCCGCTGTCCTGCGCCTGCCCAGGGATAGCAGTCTAAACTTGCCATCCCTTTCTGAGCTGCAGAGATGTGGCTCCATCTGTGCAGGGCAGACACACTGTCCTTTTGGTGGGAAAGTCTCATGAGGTGCCTGCTCTTGGCTCCCGCTGCTTGGGGGAGCTGAACACCCATATGGGCTCCCTCGCAGTAACTTCTCCATCTCTTCCTCATGCTAGCCCATTGTCTGGCAAAGCCACAGGAAGCGAGCCGTGTCAACAGAGCATCACAGCCTGGTGCTGTTCAACCCAATCCAGGAGTTTCCTCTCCACTCAGGGGGTTTGTTGCAATTTCCAGAGAAGAAAGCTAATGAAGGCATGCACATGGCTTATCTTTCACACCTGGTAGAGTCCTTTTCCACAGACTGAGAAATCCCCGGACCCAAGGGTGTTACTTCAGGCAGCCTGATTTATGATAATCATCCTCCTCTGCAAATGACCCCTTCCAGGCTGCAGTCATACTTGTTCTGAACCATACTTTATCTTAAATCAGGCTCTTGTGTCAGCCAGATACTGGCTTTGCCTGGCTGGTAGGCTTCTTTCTGAGCAATTCAGCTCATTTCAGCATCCTTCTCCTTGGGACAGGCCAGGGGCGCTGGGAAGCAGAGGCGGGTCCACAGCCACTCTGGGTGTGTGGCAGCAAGGACAGCGTGGGAATGTGGGACTCAGAAAAGTAGCCCACAAAATTGCCCTCTGGTAGGATGGAGAGACCTCTGGAAGATGATCTGAGGGTGCGGGTTGGAGCTGGAGGGCATTTATTAGCATTTCATTTCCAATAGTGCTCATAGGCATGATCCAACAAGACAGCAGCAGTGTGAGCTCCCAGTATCCTGCGGCGAGGGTCAGAGTCTGACTTTGGACACAGGAGCACCATGCCTAAAACTGCTGGGAGACGTGCTGCTCCCAATGAGGGTCTGAACACAGGGAGCAGAGGACTACTTTTAGAGTAGTCTTCCTGAAGCAGCCTGGCACTGTGCAGCTTCTCATTGGGTGACACCATCACCCTGTCCACACGCATCAGGGTGTATGTGAGCATGTGACATCCTCTCTGTCTCCCACAAGTGCTAACAAAAGTGTACAAACACTGCCCATCCCTATCTCACACACACGTACACATATATGTGCACACACCTGACCACACAAGTGTCTACATGTCCCTGTGTGGAGCTGGTATTTCCTGACCCCTTCCTTCTACTTACCTCTCCAAGGGTGCCATGGTGCAGGAATTTATGGCCATATCAGCAAATTAGCCGCCCAGCCTGGCTCTGGCATGCTTGGAAGGCACAGTGAGTCTGGAAGAGCTCTGCAGGTGTTTGATCACATCAGCCCACACCTGGGACTGAATGTTTTTCCTGCAGACCATATCCCATGAAATGTTTTTGAGCACAAGGAGCAGGTAAATTCCCAGTGCTGACACCTCCACGTCTTACTGCAAGTCTCCTTCTGAATGGAAAATCATGTTTCCTAAGAAAAAAATAATAATTTTAAGGCATGAGAAAAGGGCTATACAAAATGTTCCTGAAAATGTTCCTTGGCTGCATTTTCTTGTGGGACCAAAGCTGTTAACAGGATTGCTGGAAAGACTTGAATTAAATCACAGGGACCTGGATGCATTTTTAACTGAGATCTTTTTTGACGAAGCCATAAAGCTCTGCCCGTGAGCTGTGTGCTCACTTTGCCAACTGCTGTGGGTACTGTGGGTGCCTCCCCCAGCATCCCCAGGGCATCCTCAGCCAAATCCCTGACTCCTTGCTGTGTCGCCAAATTGCATCTCCAGCTGGGAGCTGGAGTAACACATTACTGACCCTGGGAGAAGGCTTTCCCACCCACAGCACTGCCTGTGCTGCCCTATGACTCCTGCCAGCTGCCACGGCACACTCTCCCCTCTGCTGGGACAGCAACGCTGCCCATGAGACCACAGTGTGGAGCCGGAGTTGCACATGGCTCAGAACTTCTCCGAGGTTTTCTATTTCTTTGGCAATTTTATACTGGGGGAGGAAGTGACCATAGAGGCAGAGGATGCTTAGAGTTGTGAAACAGAACCCGGATAAGGGGCAGGGCAGGGGCCTGTGCTGACCACCCCTCCAGGTGTCCCTAGACCCAGCCTTCCCACTGCTGGGTGCTGCCATGTCCCCTCCTGAGCTTGGTGGGGAGGGAAGACTGGTGGGACCCAGCTGGGACCATCCCAGCTCCCAGCCAGAGCAGGACTTGATGTCTTCTGATTGTCCTTGGGGAAATGCCTCTGGTGAGAAGTACCCTCTATATGTGAACTCTGGCTTGCCAGTGCCAACATGGGTACACACGGCTTGCTGCATAGGCTTGGTCCTGGCTTGCGGGACGATGTCTGGTAGTTCCTGATCAGGTGTATAAAAGCATTCTGAGGACAGGGCTCGTAGGAAATAGTTGAACAGGTTGCCCAGAGAGGTGGACGATACCCATCCCTGGAAACATTCAAGGTCAAGTTGGATGGGGCTCTGAGCAACCTGAGCTAGTTGAAGATGTCCCTGCTTATGGCAGGGGGTTTGGACTAGGTGACCTTTTATGGCCCCTGCCAACCCGAACTAGTCTGTGATTCTGTGATTCTAAATGGCCTGTGTGGCTCAGCCTCTCACCTGTAGCAGAAGACAAGCACCATGAAACTTGGGGTGGCCTGGAGACAGGCTCCCCTCACACATCTGGGTGTCCACCAGCACCACTTGTGACCATGTGCTTGCCAGGGCTATGCGGGGCGGCCCCGGGAGTACATTGCCACCCAGGGACCCATGCTGAACACCGTGACCGACTTCTGGGAGATGGTGTGGCAGGAGGAGGCGCCTCTCATCGTCATGATAACCAAGCTCCAGGAGCGCAAAGAGGTACTGTTGTCCCTCCCCAGGGCCAGCACACCCAGCAAAGGGTGGAGTGGAGTAATAACAGCAGAATTATGCGATATAAACGTGGGGTCTGAATACCCGATTCCTTTCTCTGCTTTGCTCTCAGAGGGGACCCTGACAGGTCACACTCAGAGAAGGAGAGCCCCAGGGCTGCAGTCTTGGCCGCATCCAGAAAAGCCTCTCCTTCTCACGTGGCCTCTCGTGCTCTGGGCACGCTTTGCCAGCTGGATAATAGGATAAAGAGATTAGGGCAGCTCCTGGGAGAAGGAGCAGAGGCAGCGGTCTGCAGTGTCTCTCCAGCGCTGAGCAGCTCTTCTCCTGGGCTGGGAGCTCTCAGCTGGTGCATCCAGGCTGGGACAGGAGCTGGCAGTGCTGTGCCCTGCATGGCGGCTTCCCTGTGCCTCACCTGGCATCCCTGTCTCCACATCCAAGGATCACTGCCTTGGGAAATCACCCTCTCCTTCCTGGCCATGTCCTTCCTCCTTTCTCTCCCCATCTGGTGCAGCATCTCTGTGGGCTCCACCAGCCAGGCTGGGACCTCCTAGGTCTGGCAGGGCATGGACTGGCCCGGGCACAGCTCCTCTGGGGCTGGGGATTGCTGCACACCCCGGGGTCTGAAAGCCATATGGGAAAGGGTGCAGGGGGAGCAGACATGGGGAGAGGGACCTATCCCATCCGTAGCCCATGTTCTCTGGCACTCCACATCCAGTTTCCCCACTCCCCGACACCTCCCCAGCTGATGCCCCTTCCCAAGAGCACTAAGCAAAGCATAGCTCAAACATCCAGTGCCTTGAGCACCTGCACAGTCACAAACCCTGCCTTGTTCTTTCAGAAATGTGTCCACTACTGGCCCGAGAAGGAGGGCACCTATGGCCCCTTCACCATCTGCGTGCAGGGTGTGAGCGAGTGTGTGGAGTACGTGGTCCGGGATCTCTCCATCCAGGTGGGTTTGAGCTCCTGGGGTCGAGAGGGGGAGCCCAGCAGGGTCCAGCAGTGCCCCCAAGACCCCTGGCTTTCTAGTGAGATGGCAACACTGTGTGACAGGAGAGCAGAGGGCTCATGGCTTGGAGAGCTAAGTCTTATGAACCCCCTGCCAGAGGAGGGGTCTGCAGAGCTCCTGCCTGCCCAAGAGGGCTGAGAGGGAATAGGATCCAGCCCTGGACGAGAGAGGAGAGGGGATCAGTTAGGGACAGCTTCTTTATTAGCCCTTTGCTGTTTGGACTGTGCCATTGGACTCTGCCCCATGGGCTCTCTGTAGTCACCCTGGGCTGACACTAGCCAAAAGGATCTTGCTGGCTTTGCCTGGACAGTATTGGGACACTCTGTCTGTTCCCATCTTCTGGGATGGGACATCTCCCAGGGTCCCTGGCCCAGGAATCTCTCCTGGGTATTTAGCAGAGGCACAAAGAGTAGTTTGGGAGGAGAGCAGACAACATGGTCACAGGCTGCCTGGCCTCTGATTGAACTGGACTCCGTGTCTTCATTTGGTCCAGTCCAGAGAGTCTGTGTTCCCAAATCCTGATTTCTCTTTCTTCTCTGCTGGAAAAGTTTGAAGGTGAATGTCGCCAGGTCAAACACATCCTCTTCCCTTCCTGGCCGGACCAGCAGACGCCCGAGTCAGCCAAGCCCCTGCTGCACTTGGTGGCCAAGGTGGAAGAGATCCTGCAGGCTGCAGCCAGCCCAGGGCCCATCGTTGTGCACTGCAGGTAAGAGCATTGCCCTCACCTGAGCCCCTGTGTGTCCTTCACCTTGGGGTCAGCCTACAAATGCTGGAGGGGAAAATCACACCAGATTATGAGCTGGTTGCACTGTAGTGCAGAAGTCCCAGGGCACAGTATCCCCATAGCAGAGTTATTCAACCAGCAAATCTTGTCCTGGCATCAGGATGGTGGCATTAGCACTGTGCATACTGGCCCAAAAACAATCTGGTTTGCACCTCGGTCTGCAAATGTCAAAGTGGGAACAGGAGAACTCTGCAGGGTTGAGACCCAAGCAACAGACCCACAGCTCAGGCTCCTGCTTCCTCTGCCACTAAGCAAGGCCTGTGGCTCAGCTATGACACTTTTTCAGGGCAGTCCTGGAGGAGGTGGCCTCTCTGTATTTTATCTCACTGCTAAGTGAATTTAGGGACAGTGGAGAAGAGAGCCCTGTGGACAGCGGAGACTCATCCCTATGCAACACACGTGGCATGCAATGCCACGGGCTGGCCCACCCCAGGGCAAACCACTGGGTGCCTGGGGTTAGAGCTGGGAGGGGTTGCAGAGACCCCTGCACCGTGCAGGGATGGGGGCAGACTGGATTGGTGCTTTCAGAGTCACCTCAGCTGGGCTGTGCCAACATGGCAAGACCCCCTTGGCATGGCAGAATGATGCCAGCCCCCATCTTTTGGTCCCCGGCTGAGAAAGTTGGTCCCCAGTTGGTCTGGGACCAGGACCCCAGCATCCCTCTAGGAAGAAATGGCAACAAACCAATCCAGGGGTACGTGCAGCTCAGACAGATTAAGGCCCGGGCAGTGGATGTTGTTGGTGCTCAGCACAGCTGTCTCTGTCCCGCAGTGCAGGGATCGGCCGGACGGGCTGCTTTATTGCCACTAGGATGGGTTGTCAGCAGCTGAAGAACAAAGGGGAGGTGGACATCTTGGGAATCGTGTGCCGCCTCCGCATAGACAGGTGGGTGCTCAGAGCAAGATGCTCCTCAGAAGGTCCTGCTGGCTGCCAAGCTGGGGAGGAAGGATGTGGGAGAGACATGGGGATGGGCATCACGAGGGGGCATGGGGACAATTTTTGATGGAAACCAGAAGGGTTGCTGAAAGATACAGATGTGCTGACAGCAAACGATTGCCCAGTGTTGGGCTGGTTTTGCTGTCAGGTCTATTGTAGCTTTGGGGACCCGCAGATGTGAGGGAGAGGAGAGCGGCTTTGAACCCGGCAGCTGGTCTGCTTCTTCCAGCTCAGCCACTAAATTCAGAAACATACAATTTTTCCACTTTTCGAGGAGAAGTACTGGTAAAAATTAGAGCCAGATCAGTTGCTAATCTGCCTTTTGAACAGCCAAGAAATGCTTCTGTGCTCAAATACATTTTGGGCAGGTCTGGTGCCTGTTTCAGATGTACCTGGACATGGTGGGTGAAGCAGGAATATTTGTGACCCAGGAGCAGGGAGCCAGGGACAGGGCTGTGGGCTTTGGTGAGGTGTCAGCAGGATCTGCCTTTCCCTTGCAGAGGCGGGATGATCCAGACAAGTGAGCAGTACCAGTTCCTCCATCACACGTTAGCTCTCTACGCTTCCCAGCTGCTGGAGGCAGGATGCCACTAGCTCCCACCGGTCTCCCTGCTCCGACCTCTCCTGCGCCAGCTGTGGGGACACCTCCACCACAAACCCTCCTGCTGCTGCCAGGCCACAGAGCAGCAGCACAAGTATCCCAGGATGAGCACAGCTGAGCAAACCCATGGGGATTACAGCCTTGCGACCCTGGGGATGAGCAAGGTTTGGTGGGTTCACAGGCGGGACTCCGCAGGTGCTCGAGGTGGCCGTTGCTTCTGGCTCAAGGCAGATTTCACCCCTGGAAAGAAGCTTTGGTTTTCGAAACATGCAACATTATATCCTCAACCAGAAGAGCAAGCTGTGTGGAAGAACTGAAGCTGGGAACACAGTCTGCCTTTATAGCTGCAGAGAAATGTTTAGCCCGTTAGACGCGAAGCTGGTACAATTACCCTGCAAATAAACAGAGCTCCTCTCCTGATTTCGTATCATATGTGGGCAGAGGCTGCGCTGCATACAGAGCTGGGCTTGCTCCTGACACGTGCCAAGATGCTTTCCTTGCTAAAGATACACCTTGATGATTTAGCACAATAAGTGCACAGTTGATTGCCTTTGGTACGTGGCTTTGTTTTCCTCTCCACCTTAAGCCAACACCTTCTCAACAGCCTTAAAGTAGGAGAGATTCCTAAGTGCGGCTGCAGTTCTGCAAGCTATGTATTCCCTTTTGTTACATGATGGTGGGGGTTTTGCATTGTTGGATTTTTGCTGAAATCAGAACAAGGTAAATTTTGGATTTCGTTAGAGTATTTTTTCACTGATAAATTCAGTGGAAAAAAGGAAGAAGATGGAGAAACATTGTGGCACAAAGCATGGAGTAGTAAAAATTCTGTAAAATATTTTAACGCTATACAAAGCTGGCCTTCAGTTGGTGGGTGCTGCACAGGCTGTTGGGCAGTGAGGACTGATAAAGAGCTGGGGGCCGCCTAGCCTGTGCCTTCCTGTGCCCCAAAGCCCTGAGGCGGCCCACTTGCTGGGTGAGATCCAGGGAAAAAGAAGGGTCAGTCCTTTTGCTGAGAGAGCCTGAGTTTGCCTCGTCTCCTAGAGTATCCCCAGATCAGGGCTGTGTGCATGGAGCCCCCTCCACCACTCTGAAGTTCCCCAAAATGCAGTTGAATGGCTGCCAATTGTTTTGCCCTAGTGCGTGTTATTCAGGCTCTGTGGGTCCCTTGAGAGGAAAAATGATGGAATAAAAAGAGAAGTTTCATCCTTAACTCTGCAGTTCTTCTGACTTGTCATCAGCCCATCAGTCCAGGAAGCCAGGGGTCCTCAGTCCTGTGTCCTTGTCCCCCCCAGTATCCTATCCTCACTGCTCTTCTCCTTGCTCCTCTCCTGCTCTTCTCCATTTACTCTCTGTAAAAGCTGTAAATGAGCAAGTGAAGCAGCCTTGTCCAGGGACAGGTAGTGAGCCAAAGTTGGCATCTTCTCCCTAATCTCACTGAGCATAAGAAGAAAACCCAGTGGCAGACAAGGTATGTCCCACTGTGGGAAAAAACCCAATATTACAGAAATTATCATGTATTGCTGAGCTCTGGTAGTCCTTATTAGTGTTTTTCAATGTGTTTTCAGACTCTCCATATAGAATACTTGCCAGGGAACTTCCAATAGCACAATAAAGGCATGTTAAAGCGTCTGCTCACTGCAAGGAGAAAATCCTTCTGGAGAAATGTCTCAGAGAGTGTATGGAAGAGGGACAGACAATGGGAGACCCTCTGCTAGCACAGCCCTCTCCCAAAGCACCAGGAACAAAACCACTCCATGGTCCTGCAGCAGGAAATCCCCCAGATTTGAAGTAATGTCCTTCAACCTGCCATGTCTGGATTGCCCCTGCAATCTCTCTGTACCAGCTGCCACGTGAACCCTTCCTTGTGCCACTGAGCCTGCCCAGCAAGGTACTGCTGGGGGATCTTGGTCTCTGCAGGGCTCCTGCCTGGTGCCTGAGCTCTTGAAGAGACCACAGAGCCTCCACAAGCCCCTTGAAGGTCAAAGCATGGCTCAAGACTTTGCCTTCTCTGCTGATGTTGCTTTTGGTGGTGTCTCTGAAGGCACCAATGGAAGTTTTCAGCTCTTTTGGGACAGGCTTATTCAGCTGACCACAGCATCCTGCTTTCCAAGTCCTTCCTCCCCACGTTGCCATCAGGCAGGGGAACTTGAAGACCCTGCTAGATGGTCCAAGGCATAGTCTTTCCTCACACTTCCTGGACGTGCACTATTTTTCTTATGCTTTCAGCTCAAGAGGAGAGCTCTTGCAGCAGGAGCTGCATGGGGGGTGTCACAAGACACTCAAGGAGCAGTGCTAGGACGTGTGGCTGGGTAGGGAGTGTTGTCACCTCCTTTCAGATTCCCCATTGGGTGCTGGGAACCTTGCAGTTCAGCTGTCTGATGCAGGTTACGATCAGTTCAGCAGTTTTCCTGTCTTATGCTTTCAGCTCAAGAGGAGAGCTCTTAGGGCAGACTTGCAGCAGGAGCTGCATGGGGGGTGTCACAAGACACTCAAGGAGCAGTGCTAGGACGTGTGGCTGGGTAGGGAGTGTTGTCACCTCCTTTCAGATTCCCCATTGGGTGCTGGGAACCTTGCAGTTCAGCTGTCTGATGCAGGTTACGATCAGTTCAGCAGTTTTCCTGTTGTTGTGGCTTCAGCCAAATTTACCAAAACCAGATTGACAGATGGCGCTTCCCCTCTCTACCCCTAAAAGAGAGGAGAGGAAGAGATAAAGAGATTTAGAAGTTTAGAATGAACTAAACTACTTTAATGAAGAAATTTAATATTAAACTCTAAAAGAAGAAAATAATGAAATAGATACAATATATACAAAACCGTATCAAGATCCCAGGATGATGTCACTGGCAGGCACTGGGGTAGTCCCAGACTGGGCTCAGCCATGGATGGGAACTGGGTTCCAGCTCTGGAGTCAGGAACACATGGATCATGATCAAAGGCAGATGGACAGACAGAGTTCTCTTCAGACGTCAGCCATTGAAGAAATAGAGTTGATCCTTTGATCCCTCAGCTTTTATACTGAGCATGGGGCAGATGGAATACCTGGGAAAGGAATGGAAACTGGGATGGAATATCCCAGTTGGTCAGTCCGGGGTCACCCCTCCTGTCTGCTTCTCCTCACAGATATGACCCCTCTATGCTTTTCCATTTCTGACCCTCTAACGGGGCAAATAACAAAATTGGCTGACCTTTGTTGTTATAGCAATAAGTATAAGCAAGGGCCTCTCTGCATACCCTTCCTTGGCATGAAGCACAAACATTGGGCTTACCGCTCTGAGAACGAGCAGTTTTCTCCACGATATGCCATTAATTTCAGAGAGGTAGAAGAGGCCTAGCTAAAATGTAAAATTGCTAAACAGAAAGTTGGTTCTGTTTTACTTCAAACCGGACACCTGTCTTTCAATCTTGATTTCTACCAGCTCTATCTGTTCATGACACTTATCAGGCCATTACCACTATCTGAGTATCTCTCCATCCTCCCTGTGTTTATTTCCCAAGTCCTCCTCAGAGCTGTGCAGGTCTATTGCTTGCGTTATTGCAAAACCCCATCCCGAGGCTCACCTGGTGTTTGATCTGATCTGGTTGTGTCAGGCTTGTGTCCTGGGAAACTGCTTCACCCTGCCCATAAAGACCATGGGGTGCCCAGCAGGCAAAGGAAAGTAATCACTCCAAAATCTCATGTCCCCCCATACCCTGGGCTGAGATTAAGCCCATGAGCTTGGCCAGGGGTTTCAGCAGGGCTGAGATTGCTCCTGTTCCTCATTCCCCTCCCTTAAAACCCTGGCATGGACCCAGCTGTATTTTTCCTTCTCATGGGATTTCTGTGTTTTGCTGGATGTGCAACCCAGACAACTGGGCAGGGAGCTGGTACTGGGGGCCCTGGGCTGCAGACTCCTGTGAATCTTGTCCCTGGCAGGCCAGGCCCTCCCCAGGGTTCAGAAAAAGCCCTTTCTTCACATTACTGTAATTTTGGCCCAGGTTTCCCAGGCTGGTAGTTCATTTCCTACCCTTGTGACAACTGGCCAGGCTGTAGGTTGCCTAGGATGGGAGAAAAGAACATGGTGGCCACATGCTGCACATAGCTTTAGTGGCACACTGGCATTGCTGGTGGCAGGGAGACCCAAGGTGGTCCAAATTAACAGCAGCTGCGGAGAGTGCCAGTGGTGTCCCCATCAAACACAGCACACCACTGCAGGCTGCCGAAGGGCACCACTTCAGCCAGCTTCTTGGAAGAGCAGGGCATTGGGGTATGATGTGCCCAAATACAGCATTTTGGGTATTCAATAACAGTTCTTCACTCAGGCAGCAGTGTAACTACAGACAAATCTCCAACAGCATCCTCATGGGCTTCAAGTAATCAATGACCAAGCCATCACCCAGGAAGTAGAAATTTCAAGGCAGCACTTGTGGAGCAAGGACATTGCAAGGGCAGCACTGGGGTCCCAGGAGCTCATGGAGGGTCCACAAGAGCACCAGCAGCAGGTGGGGCCCCACAGAGGACGAGGTCCACCCACCAGCACCTCACCTAGTACCAGAGGGACAGGTTGACCTGGTGGCTGGGAGCATCAGGGACGCTGTGGGGCATGGGAGTGGCATCTTTTCATGCTGGTCTTTGGAATCTCAGTGGTTAAACAGTGAGACAGGAGAACATGGAGAATAAGCCACCCATTACCCCACATTACCCCATGGAGCACAGCCCTGACAATTCAGTTTCTTTTAGGAACTTGGATGAGCAACCACATCAAAGCATCCTGGGAATTTCAAGTATGCTCTTGTCTGGGGAGGTCCTGGAGTGGTAATAGCTCTTGCTCAAGATGATCTGCCCAGTCCCACACTTCTGGCATGGAGGCCATGGGGTGACCCAATGGGGGACAGCACTGCAGAGGTACAGCAGGTACTCATGCATCCCCACATGTGCTGCCATGGCTTCTCTGCAGGGAGCAGAGCCTGGGACCCCCTGATTCACACCAGTGGTAAACAACCAAACACCTCCCAACCTGCCAGGGCTGGTGTGAGACCCTTCCCTTGCTGGGGATAAGGGAAATGGGGATGGGCATGGTGGGACCACTAAGTGAAAAGGGGCTTTTTTGTTCATTCGCTGATGTGTCTCCCAGCGTGGGGATGGACTCATCCAGGTCCCATCTCTGCTGTTAGGGGTGTGTTTTGTTTGAGCACTGGATGGACAATTTCTCTGGCAAGGACTGCAGTAACACCTGCCACCAGGAGTAAATCTCTGCTAACAACTTGAGTGCCACAGGCATTTTGGGTGGGAAGCCCCAGAGTGGTGTAGGGACATTGCCTGGGCTGGAATCTCTTAAAAAACCCAACATCTTCAGGCAGAAATTACACACAAGAATTGGGGGACGGTGCATTTTTCACTGATATGAGGAGGGGCTACAACAGAGTAATTACAGAAAGCAATGACATTCCTGCTTCCTTAGGCCTCCCTTCTAGAGCACAGTTCTCCTTAGCAGGCTGCAGCAGCTCTGAAAACAAAATGGTTTCTGTCTCCAAAACCAAAGGCAGCTTCCCAGTGACTTACAGCACTTGATGGAAACTCTTCCCCCCATTAATTGTCATGGGCTCTGCAATACCCACTGTGAGGCAGATACAACTCCAGTTCCATTTCTTTATTTCCTGCATGTGTGCATTAGTCTCAGGCAGCCCCAGGAGTGAATTCAGCATCCTCCTCTTGTGGGAGCCTGAGCAGCCTCTTCTGCACGCAGGCTCTCCCCAACAGCTGCTGCAGCTTTGGGACTGGCTCAAATCCAGCCGGGATGTCACCCTTGTTGGCATTGCAGAGCCAGCCAGGGCTCCCTGGGCACTCAGCATCAACGTGGAAGGGCAAAGCAGAGCAAAAGCACAGCCAGCACAAGTATTTCAAGCACAGGAGCAGCTTAGCATCCCATGCAACCCAGCAGAGCTTAGCTGGGGGAAAATGAGGGACTTTTGAGGCTGCAGGGCCCAACCTGATCTCTAAAGGATGATGTTTCAGCACATTATATTGAATCATAGAATCATCTAGGTTGGAAGGGACCTTCAAGATCACCTAACTCTGACAAAAAAAAATCACTAAACCATGTGCCCCAGCACCATGTCAACCCGTCTTTTGAACACCTCCAGGGATGGTGCCTCAACCCCTGCCCTGGGCAGCCCATTCCAAGGCTTGATAACCCTTTCCATGTAAAAATTGTTCCTACTATCCAATCTGAG